GCACGGGTTCATGCGCAGGGCTACTAGTAATAAATAATAACACAAGAATAAACTTTTCCATACTTATAACTGTAAACCTACTTTTCCCCTACCCTGTGTTTTGGGGTATAGCAGAAGATGAAGCTAGAAAGACAGGAGCCTCACTGTGAGAGCTCTCATGGCAAGTTAAAGAATTTGGACTTCATTGCTTTTAAGCAAGGGATGATAAGATAAGGTTTATTTTAAGTATATATTTATTGATATTAGAGACTGAAGGAGAAGGAGAGAGAGAGAAAAACAGCAATGATGAGAGAGAATCATTGATCGGCTGCCTCCTGCATGCCCCACACTGAGGATGGAGCCCATAACCTGGATATGTGCCCTGACTGGGAATCGAACGGTGATCTTCTAGTTCATAGCTTAACCACTGAGCCATGCCTTCCGGGTGATCAGGTTTATTTTAGAAATTTAACTTTGGCAGTGTTGTGTGGAATGGTCAGGGGTGAAATTAGAGTCAGGGGCACCCTTAAGAGAAGGTACTACTAAAATTGAGGAAGAATATTAAAAGCCTTAATTTTGGCATGGGAGCAGAGAGGAGGGACCTTATTAGAGAGACATTTTAGAGGCAGATGGAGGGCAAGGTGAAGTCAGTTATGACTCATTTCTGGATTAGGTGACCAGGTAAGTGGTTCTCAAATTTTGCTGTGTAGTTCAATCACTTGAGAAGCTTTTAAATGTTTTGCTGTTCTATCATACCTCATGGCAATAAATCAGAAGTGAGGAGGGTTAGGAACCAAGCTTTAGTATTTTTTAAAGATTTCTCTGCTGATCCCAGCATATATCAAAGTGTGGGAACCACTGGTCTAGGAATGGGTAAACTGTTATCATTAACTGAGGTGGGAATGGATTTAGAACATACTGTACTTATTGGGCCCTAACTTTATGCTAGTCACTTTTACTTGGATCATCTGGTATCACTCTCATTTTACAGATGAAGAAACTGAAGTTCAAGGTATGAAAGTAGGATGTGGGAAATACATGGTGAAGGTCAAGAATGTGGTTGAGGCCAGATATGTCTAGATGTTGGAATCACGAATATATCCTGTAGGCTTGGAGTCATAAGCTCAGGTAGCTACAAGCACCTTTCAGACAGTCTAAATAAGTGACACTGTTGGGTGGAATGATAAGGTGTCAGATGGGTGGAATGATTGGGTGTCATATGGGCTCAGAATTGCCAGATTTTGTTTTTAAGCCAAATATCCAGATTTGAATGGGAAATTTTTACATGTTTTAAATGAACTATTTCAAACATTTTAATCAAGGCATGTTTGGGGACCTTGAGTAACTAGTTTGTGATCTCTACCAGTTTGTGATCTCTGCCTTAAGAGCTTTGTATGAGCTGCTTAAGATTTCTGTAGAAAAGTTTGAGTAGTACAAGTGGATCAGAAGGGCCTGCCATTTTTCTTCATTCATTCAACAAATACTTAATGATTGCTAACTGTGCCTGATAAAAACTTTATAGCAATAACTTTGGAGGTTTTTTTTACCTGACCTGTAGTAAAGAATATATTGTGCTATGACCCAGCATGTGTACACACACACACACACACACACACACACACACACACACACACACACACACACACACACACACCTGAAAAAAGTTGTACATAAACAGTATTGCTTTCTGGGACAAATGCCTTTAGAAAGCAAATGAAGGCATTTGTCCCAGAAAGCAGTACTGTTTATGTACAACTTTTTCTTCTATTTCTAGTTCATTATTACAAAATGCTAGTAATGATCCACTACATTAATCTCATAACCCACTAATGGGTCACCACTCAAAATGAAAAACTGTGTGAGAGGGAATGCTGGATTGGGAGGGGCTATTTTCATCCTTGTTTTACAAGTGGAAAAATGAAGACATTTGTGGTTTGCACGAATTACAAACTTGTTACTCACATAAGCATAGAGAATTTTCCCAAGGGAAAAACAACCATAGGCAGCCAGAATGGGCCGTGGGATGTACATAAGGGGGAAGCAGTTCTGGTTTGACTGAATGAAGTCTTTTGTAAGGAGGAGACATACTTGATATTGATTGACAACAGCTGTTCTTGTAAAAGATCTCATAACAGAATATTATACTGAGGTGGACCAGGAGAAGTGAGGTAGTGAAGGAGACACCTCGGGGGATTAAACCCTGGTGTGGGAAGAAGAGACCTTGCAGGAACAATGCTAAAATGTTCTAGACGTTTAGGTTTAAAATGTGTTTTGAAAAGGAGGGAATTCAGAACAGCCTTGATTTTAGCTCCTGTAGAGAAGCCACCCTAAGAGACTGAGAGGACTTGTTGAGAGGTGCAGAGATGAGAGGAGGAGGAAGCCCAAATAGTGTTTGAGTCCCTGATTACTGTTGTCCCTGAACTTTGCTGCCATCTTACAGTTAAAATGACTCATCCTCATCATATTTTGGACATATTTGGATTAAAGAACATTATTAAAATAATTTTAAAAAAAGGACTCATCCTCTGCCTCAGCTAATTCCCATTGGATTTCTGTCACTTTTATTAAGTGCTGGGTAATAATACTGACATGGAGGCCAGAATTAAAAAGATTGTCTCCTGCAATATACAGTTGTGTGTGGCCATTTTGGAGCCCACTGGGATTGTATCTCCTTTGTTCTTAGAATGAAGCTTTGTATTTTCATAGGTACTTTTTGAGATGCTTTCCTGAAATTAAAGTTTAATATCACTTAGTAGTGTGAGATCAAATGCATTGCTTCTGTTGCATAGCTTAGTCTTTGAATTTATAACTTTTGCATATTTTTCTGTTCACTGTATCAGAGAATCTGAAATTTTTTTTTCTGTTATAGGTACAGAGGGACCAGGTGTCAGCATCTCTGAAGAGAGACAAAGTTTAGCTGAAAACTCTGCAACAACCGTTGTTTACAATCCTTATGCTGCCCTTTCCATAGAGCAGCAGAGGCAGAAACTGCCAGTGTTCAAGGTACATTGAATAAGCATGTTCAGTCTGTAGACCTGAAGTGTCTGCAAGAACTTTGGCACTGAAGCGCATAGTGTCTTCTTAGTCTTAATGATTCTTTAGAACACAAAGGACTCAGAGACACCCTTATCTGAAGCGATTATCTTTTCAAAATATGTGTGTTAGTTAACCTTAGAAATCTGAAAAGTCCTTAAGATTTTTTTTCAGTTAGATCTTTCATATTGAAAACTGAACGAAATGGAATGATGTTCTTTTTTCTCCTCTTTGCTTTCAATTATGGGCAAATTCAAACATACAGAAAAATAGAGGAAATAGCACAGTGAACTTCTATGCATCCAGCTTCAACAGATTACCAACATATGGTCAATTTTGGCTTTCTTTTTTTTTTTTTTACATTTTTTATTGATTTCAGAGAGGAAGTGAGAGGGAGATAGAAACATCCATGATGAGAGAATCTCTGAGCCCGCAACCTGGGCATGTGCCCTTGACTAGAATCGAACCTGGGATCCTGTCCGCAGGCCGATGCTCTATCCATTGAGTCTAGCCAGCTAGGGCATTGGCTTTCTTTTTAAAGACTATTTCTTTCAACAAGATCAACCGGAATATGAGGTGGTTTCTGTTGAAGAGGTTAACTCCCACTGAGACAGTGACAGGATTTTGGTGTGTTTATTGCGCACCATGTGCACATTCAGACAATTGATTTCATTAGTATCTTGTCATCTCACAAGAGACCAAAGTGTAAACAAGAATTCAAAATATGTTTGTTTAAAGTGAGCATGGTTCTTCAGTACAGATGGGCCCAGTCCATGGACACACTTTATCCCTGTTGCCAAGTCCATATGGGAAGCCATATTGTAGTTGGGAAGGAGCTCAGGACCAAAGGCCATTCGAAGGATATTTTTTCCGAATATCCCCTGATGTAGGGTGATGAACTACACCTGCCTCATTCATTTGTGGCTATGTGATCTTGCTTCACTATCTGAGCTCCTGTTTTCTTATCTATAATATGGGACCAATGTATATGCATTATATATTTGGATAACTTTATACTCAATTGGAATTGTATTAGCTTATACTGACACCAATAGTACCTAAGAGTTGGAAATACATTTTGATAGTTCTTTTAAAAATTTACTTTCTTGCAGTCAACAACTCTCATTTCATAATGTTTAAATGTCTTTGTTTAGATCTTTTGAGAAAATGTATGGCTCTTTACAATGTATGCTTCTATTTTTTTAGCTTAGAAATCATATATTATACTTGATAGAAAACTATCAAACAGTGGTGATTGTTGGAGAAACAGGATGTGGGAAAAGCACACAGATCCCACAAGTGAGTATGTATTTAAATGTGTCTGCACTTTGATTTGATTGGAAGGGTTTTGTAACAAGAACTCTACTTAATCGTTTGCATTTTTACTATCTTCTCTCAGAGAAGTATTCAGCCTAACTGGACATATTTTTATTAAACTTATTAAACTCACAGTTTCTCTGATTAGTACTGAAGTAACAGTCTTTGATTTATTATTTTTTCATTTTTGTTTTCGTTGTTTTATTTTTGTTTCGTTCCATAACAATAATTAAATAGCCATATTCTGAAAGTAACAATGGGGACTGAATTACAGAGGTGTAATGCATAGTTTTTATCCTCAAATAATTGTAGTTGAGAGGAGGGGTAAAATGAATGTTGCTATAGTTGTAAATAAAATTGATTATTATAGAATTACAGAGGAACACATGTGAAGAGGTAGTCATGTTAAATTACTGAGAGATTATCAGAGAATAATGATAACTAGTAATAAAAGCTAGTGAGAAGTATTATAATAAATGTTACATAAAATAATCACTTTAATATTTAATATCCATTTTTGATTTTTAAAATGCATATAATCAAACACACAATTAATAAATATATGTAGCAAATAAGTATATAAATAAATCAGATAAATGCATATAGTCAAATTTTATGTATACTAATATAATTTAATGGCATATATACATGTATATAAAATCTAATTATTTTTATTTAATCTAAAACATTTGTATGGTTGATATTTACATTGAGCTATCTCTGTGTGTACTTTAAAAATTTTTGTTCTGCAGATTTAGCTCTGTTCCTTTTTCCCCCGTTCCCCTCTTATCACTGTTCTGAGTGACTCATGGATAGGTTTTATTCCTTGAAGCATCCGTAGTACATGAAAATCTTTAAGACTGGGGAGTCAGAATGTTGAATTCTGCCTTGATTCTTCTGATTATTATCTCTGATGTGAACGTAAACAAATTGCCTAACATTTCCAAGCCTCAGACCCACCATTTGCAAAATAATTTCTAAAATATCTGTTGGAACAAGAACCATCTGTCATTTCTTTTCTCAGTGATTTTAACACAACACAGCGTGACCTTGGGGCAGACGGTTTCTGGAGAAGTGGTGTCACATGTATACTTAGATGTGATTTTATTTGTAGTACCTTGCAGAAGCTGGCTGGACAGCTGAAGGAAGAGTTGTAGGAGTGACCCAGCCTCGAAGAGTGGCTGCTGTTACGGTGAGTTTCTGTTTTTTCTTTTTGTATTGCAAAGACTCCATCTGTGTCTTCTATTTCAGTGACTTATTTTTTGCTTGTTTCCTAAAAGTTCGAAATGAATATGACATTACTCCTTAAGAATTTAATTCTTCAATTTAAAAAGAACTATGACCTGATTATTTTTATAAAATTGGCACCTGTACATTATGAATGTTTAATATTATATTTTTTACTGATTTTGAGAGAGAGAGAGAGAGAGAGGAGAGAAACATTTATGTGAGAGAGAAGTATCCATCTGCTTCCTCCTCATGTTCCCCAACCAACTGAGCCACACCGGCCAGGGTACATTATGAATTTTTTAAAGTAGTAACAAAGTACAGAGTAAGTTAAACAACGAAAACAAAAATAAAAAAATAAAGAGGAAAAAACCCAAATCTCACCATCCAGCAAAAAGATTGTAAACATTTGTGAACATTATTCCAAGCTTCTCTTTTTTGTTCACTAAAGTTGAATGTTTGGCTGGATGGCTAGAAGTAATTTTATAAAAATGGGATCATAGCCATATATTTGCTTTTGTTGAATTTAACAGAAGAGGAAACTGAAGTGAAATAGGAGTAGTTATATATTGAACTTTGGATCAATATTTGTTCATCACAAGATAATTAAATCTTGAAAACAAATAAAAAAGATTAGAAAAAAGCTTTAGAATGCTACTTATTTTGAAACTCTGTGATAGGTAGTTTCCTGTTCAAAGTGTAAATTAGCACATTTATTCTTTCCATCTTTTCCTCCTCCATTTGTTATAGATGCAGTTCTATAATTCTTATTTCAATTCTTTTCTGTAATCATAACTATCACAGGTGTTTAATTCTAGTTAGTTTTAATGTTCATCACAAAATACTTTCTTGTTTTGCCAATCTTGAATTGCTCATTTTGCTTTATTTTTTGATTGGCTAAATTTTATATGCCCGGGAATGTTTGATTGTGTTTTTTGTTGATATAAAATTCTCGATTCCACTGTCTTTCCCTGGAAACTGCAGACATTGCTGTCTTGCCTTTGGCATGGAGGGCCACTATGCAGAAGTCTAAGGTCCATCAGGGGGTTTTCCTCCCTACTTCCTGGCTTACTTTTTCTGTTTGAGTGCTTTAAAGATTGTTTTTGCACCAGGATGTCTTGATGCTGATTGCTGTCTCATTGTTTCTTAAATATGGAAGAACTTTTAACCTTCAGGTTTACATCTCTTTGTATCAAGCTGATTTTCTTTTATTATATCTTGGAAAATTTTTCTGTTCCATTTATTTTATCCTCTTTCTAAGAGTATCAATTAAGTATATATTAGATCTCCTTTGTCTCTTTTTACTATTTATTACCATCTCTGGAATCACGTACTCTTCCACTTTGTTTTGTGAAATTTCTTATTTTTTTTTATTTTCCCTTTATTGATTAAGGTATTACAAATGTGTGCTTATCCCCCCATTGCCCCTCCACCCTGCCAATCCTGCCCTCACCCTCACCCCCTGTTGTTTGTGTCCATTGGTTATGCTTATATGCATGCATACAAGTTATTTGGTTGATCTCTCCCCCTTACCCCCACCCTCCCCTACCTTCCCTCTGAGGTTTGAGCATCTGATTGATGCTTCTCTGTCTCTGGATCTGTTTTTGTTCATTGGTTTATGTTGTTCATTATAACCCACAAATGAGTGAGATCATGTGATATTTATCTTTCTCTGACTGACTTACTTCACTTAGCATAATGCCCTCCAGCTCCATCCATGCTGTTGCAAATGGTAGGAGTTCCTTCCTTTTTACAGCAGCATAGTATTCCATTGTGTAGATGTACAAAAGGGTTTTAATCTACTCATCTGCTGATGGGCACTTAGGCTGGTTCCATGCAATTTTTGACTGCTTTTTCATTGATTACCTCTTTGTATGACAACTAGAGGCCTGGTGCACAAAATTAGTGCACTTGCGGGGAGGTCTCTCAGCCCGGCCTGTGCCCTCTCACAGTCTGGGAGCTCTCGGGGAATGTCTGACTGCTTTGGAGGCAGTAGGGGCTCCCACCACCTGCCAGCCATGAGTCTGGCTTCTGGCTGAGCGGAGCTCTCCCTGTGGAAGTGCACTGACCACCAGGGGGCAGCTCCTGCCTTGAGTGTCTGCCCCCTGGTGGTCAGTGTGTGTGATAGTGACCAGTTGTTCCACTGTTTGGTTGATTTGCATATTAGCCTTTTATTATATAGGATGATTTTCTGTTATTTTCCTGCAGAGAGAGGAGAGCAGTATTTTAGTGCTACTCCAGCATGGTTGATTCAGATTTGCTTTTTATTATTGACACTGTGTTCCTTTAATTCTGTAACCGGCTATTTTTATAGCATTGTATTGATTTTAGGGATTGTTCTCAAATTTGGGGAAAACCTTCCCAGTTTCTTTCATGTCTTGACTGGCTTCTGGTCTGTATGTTTGAGACCTTGTTTCTCTTTGACTCTTTTTTGACTTTGCATCTGTTCCTTACAGTTTTTAGCTTAAGCTTGTGATTCCTTCGAAACTGGATTTCTTTGGCTGAAATTTCCTTCTGTTCTTTTGGGTAATACTTTTAAAGTTTCTTTTTAAACTGCTTTTTTGCTTGCGTTCCTTTCTTTCCTTTTTCTTCATTAGCTTTAAGGAAATGGGCTTATGTTAGTATTTTAAAATTTATTTTAAATTAGGCAGAGTCTTTTTTTAAATGTTTTTATTGATGGAAGAGAGAGGGAGAGAAACAATGATTGGCTGCCTTTTGCACGCCCCATACCAGGGTTGAGCCCACAACACCGGGATGTGCCCTGACTAGGAATTGAACCAGCAACCTCCCAGTCCCTGGGACGATGCTCAACCAACTGAGCCACACCGGCTAGCTTGTGCTAGTACTTTTAATGACTGCAGAATTCTGAGGTTGTACTGGATAATGAATAGCCTCTCACCAAATCTCTTATCTTCCTTTGCTGGGGGATCGGATGGGGATCTTGCAGTTCACTCCTTACTTAATGGTTTAAAAGGTCTGTAATGGCTCAGGTAAAATTCTCTGGGCTCTCTGATTTGGGATTTGCTTCCTGCTCCTGATTGCCTGCCTTTCCTCCTCAATTCCTCTCCCTTGTGATTCTTTGCCTTCAATGTGGGTCTCCCACTGAGACATTTTGTATGTCTTCAGGGCCTGGACACACTGCTGCTTCTGTCTTCCTAATACAGGATTGTCAGCCTGCCTTTCGGGTGGCAACACATTAAGGGAGCCAGCAGCCTGCTCTGGTTGTGAGGAGGCTGGGGCTTCTCAGTCCAGACCTCACAGTATTTGGCAGTGTCCTTCCTAAGTAATTGTTTGGGCTCCTGGTGTTTCCTTCTTTCATTGAAGATGGAGTTTTGGGTTGATAGTATGTTTTATTCCTTTGTGGTTATAAATTAGCTCTGAGAAAGGGCCATCTTTACCTGGACAAGAAATTCTGTTTTCTAGAGTTATGTTTGCTGTGTACCGAGTTTTAATTACTGTGTAATACTTTTCCCCAAAGTTCATTTTCTAATTGTCCTCAGGTTAGAAATTACTGGTAAATATTTCCCAAGTCTTATGTGTGTGTAAAAAAAGAGATAACAGTTTGGAAACCACTTAGCCTTTTACATTACAAGAGATGACTCAGTTACTTAAATTTTTCCTATTTATGGTTTGGGATCCCAGCTCTTAATCATTTTGGATTTTAGTTCCAAATTTGTAGCCATGGATAATTTCCATGAAACCCCATGCTTTCTCTGTAAAGAACCAAAAGTGTATAAAGTAACAGTGTAATATTAATAGAGTTGTCAGGTTTGAAATGCTACATCTCCAGAAGTACCTTGTGTGCATACTGAAATCTGAAAACAATCTCAGAGCCTAGAACAGATTGCATAAGCAGTTGCTAGATCTCTGTGAGAGGCAGTTACTATTGAGAATGTTTATTGCGCTCAGATGGTCTGGATCTGGCTTCAAGGCTGGGCCCTGCCTTGAGCTGTGATTCTGGACAAGCTCTAAGCCTATCTTATTTCACTTTCTCTTTTTAGGGTATCTAACCCACCTCATGGGCTGTGTGCATCTTTAATGAGACACAGTTTGTGAAAGTTTGGGACACAGTATGGCAGGTCATAGGTGCTCAGTGATTTTTTTTTTTATATCCCTTTCCCTCTATCTGTTTTTGTCAAAAAATATTTATCCTGTCCAATAGATGAGCTTATTGGGAGTAGAACTTAATAGAGGCAAAAATCTATTAAAAAGCCAGTAGATTATGACCTTTCAAATATTAAATGGTGTGGTCATAAATAAAATTTTTTAAAAAGTGTTTGAGGCCCAGGCTGGGTAGGTCAGTGGGTTAGAGCATTGTCCTGCTACACCAAGGTTATGGGTTTGATCTTCCGGTCAGGGCACATACCGGAATTAACCAATGAATACATAAATAAGTGGAACAACAAATCAGTGCTTCTCTCTCTCTCTTCTCCTTTCTCCCTCCCTCCCTACCTCTCTCTAAAATTATTAACAAAAAAGAGTTTGATAACAAAATACATATTTTTAATAGAAAAAATATATAAACAGTGAAATAATATGACTAAATAGTTTTGGCTTCTTCCTTGTAGATTATATTTTTTTGGAGAGGGTTGGTTCATTTATGCTTATTCTTATACGCCTGTTTTCCCCATCAACTCCTAGTATGTCTCTGCACACATTCTTTATTTGTGCCATTTTCTGAGATTTATTGTATAATGATCCATAGGGTTGAAATTGAAACAATAACAAAACCATCCTGGTGAAATACTGGTGATCGGGAAATACAACCTGCGGAGGTAGAGCCATCTAGGATGAATTTCTAGTTTCATAAGACATTTTGAAAGACGGTGAGGTGTAGACCAGCTGCTGGATGATTGGTTCTGTTTTGGCCTTCCAGATCTGTAATTTCAAGTCGTTAGGCAGAGCCACTCCTGATCCTCATCTGCTCTCCAATTTCTTAAACACTGATGGCCAGATAACTCCTGGTGTGCATGGCTTGGGGAGCTATGTGCTGGGACACTGGGCTCCTGAGCTTGAGGGTGCTGTGGCCCAATGGCTGTAGCAGTAAACTCTGCTTTGGGACGCCTGTGCCCGCCCACATTCCAAGCCCAGGACTCAGGGACTACATGGGCAAGTGGCGTCACATTGGGTAGATGTGCCAGGTCCCCAGGGAATCTCTGTAATATTGCTTCCCTTTGTTTTTTTTCAATTAGGTAATTTATATAACAAATGTTACACGCTTTATTTTTTTTTAAACTAAATTTTAAACATTGCTCTTTCACTTTCACTTTTATATGTATTCATTATTTCAGGTATTTTCTATTAATAAGATAATAACTTGACTGTCCTTGGAGAGGTGGGAGATCTTGCTGTCGGATTCTTTTTTTCAGTTTCTTACACTCACCTTTTGTCATATATTGGTGGGTAAAAAAACCCAATAATTTATGGTCTTCATACTATATTATGTACTTTGTTTTCTAGCTTTACTTTATTATGTTAACTTGGATTCTTGGTTAATCTTCTCATTGTCTTATCTGCCCTTTTTTACTTTTTAATCTGCATTCTTGTCTTTATTTCCTCTTTTAATGGTTTTGGTAGCTGGGACACTGTTACACGTTGTTATAGATTATCTTGCTCTGGAAACATTACTCTTTTGTTCCAAAGGGAAAATGAATTTGGCCCAGTATTGAATTTGATCATTCCTGTTCCCCTGCCTTCATGGTCCAGTGGAAGGTGCTTTATTTCAAGGCATGAAGACCTGAAAATTTTTGCCCGGTTGGTGTATGAAAGAATAGAGAAGGCTTTAGGAACAGAGTGAATCTTGTCATTTCTTCTTCCCTTTTTGATTTGGCCACCAGAAATCTAGAGCTGAATATGTAGCTCAACTTAAATAACTGGCATATCTATGTTTTTAAATTTTGCTCATTGTCCTTGATCTTTTGAATTCAATCTGTCATTTCTTTGATCCTGATCTGTGATACCTTTTTTTTAAAATATATTTTTATTGATTTCAGAGAGGAAGGAAGAGGGAGAGAGAGATAAAAACGTCCATGATGAGAAAGAATCGTGGATCGGCTGCCTCCTGCAAGACCCCCACTGGGGATCAAGCCCACAACCTGGGCATGTGCCCTTGACCGGAATTGAACCCGGGACCTTTCAGTTCGCAGGCCGACGCTTTATCCAGTGAGCCAAACCGGCTAGGGCATGATCTGTGACATCTTTATGGGATTCTGTTTTTATTGCATATGTTCTTATAATTTGCCTCAAGTTGATTATTGAGTGAGGTGAGATATATAAAGTTAATAAATCACAAAGGTTATCACACTTCTTCTCTAATAACCTGCCCTTTTACATTTTCCACTGTGTTCACATACTATTTAAAAATAAATGACCTTTATATTTTCCTTCGTATGTGCTCTGTGCAGTAATTTCTATGTCTCTATTTTCAGCATGATCTTTCTTCCCAAAGGTTGCAGGGAGAGTAGCTGACGAAAGGGGTGCAGTGCTGGGCCATGAGGTGGGCTACTGCATCCGCTTTGATGACTGCACTGACCCGCTGGCTACAAGAATTAAGGTGAAGTGCTCAAGCTGCTTTTCCTGGTGTGAATAAGGAAGATGATTATTTTTTTGGGGGGGGGGGCGGGATTAGAAACATGCTGCATTACTGCTGATGGGACGCCGATACCATGGCCCTCAGGGAATTTAATCTGCTGGGAGGTACAGAGCCTTGACTCTTAGCCTTGAAAGGACCTTGAAAGGAAGGTGAAGCCCTTGGTTCTACAGAAGAAGAGGTTGAGGACCTGGGAGTTTGAATAACTTGCCTAATGTCATGTGCCTGTCAGTGATAGAACCAGGACTCAAAGCTGTCCTTTCTCATGTGTTTTTATTGTTTTCTAACGATGCACATAGCTGTCTAAACACAGAAACTTGCCTATAGAAAGGCCTAAAGACAGGGACACGGTAGTATAAATTGATAAAGTGTAGAATTTAGTTTTACTAGTTAGGCCTTTCTAATTTTTACATGAAAATGGATTTTACGTGTATTTTTTTTAACCTACATGCTAGTATTAAAACAATTAGTATCAGTAGTAATTAACATACTATCAACTCAACAGAGTATCTACTGAATACCGCTATGCTGGAATCAAAGTCTAATCACATAGTACTCTAAAACCATGGATGAAATGAAAATAGGTTATTAGAATCTCAGTTAACCTCTCAATTTGCAACAGAGGCAAATTGGAAATAATGAGAATAGTTAAATGAACAATGTAGTAATTTATAAAAAATAGAGACCTTGTTTTCCAAATTTCTGTATTGTGTTACCTTTACATTCACTTTACTAGGTAAAGGGCATATTGTCGTGTACCATTAAATATATTTGAACTAGCTAATTTTTAGATAAATTTCAGTGAATTATGTAACCGAATGGTCATAATTTCAAGGCACTCCTTTCTTAGCTGGTGGCCTGTCATTGGTGGCAGGTTCTTAGTTTTACTCCAGTGTGTCTATGTGGCAGATGTACCAGCTCTAAGAAAAAAATTATGGGAATATATCCTGCTCTTATAAACAAAAAGCAAAAACACTAAGATACAGCATGTGAGGGAGATAGTTAGCCTTGTTAAAGTCCTGAACTGTTTGGTTGAGAGTCACAATATCTAATTCTTGCTGCATATTTCTAAAGCATTTTGTAAACATTCATTAATCCTAAATGATAATATCTGACATTCCTGAACACTGTGTCCTGGGCCCTGTGCTAAACACTTTATGTGTGCGATCTCAATTCTCACAGTAACCCTCTGAGGTAGATACTTTTATTTCCCTTTTACAAAGGAGGAATCAGGCTCAGAGAGGGGGCCAAGATCTGAACTCCCAGCAGTCTGACACAGCCCATGTTCTTAACTACAGTCCCTTTTGGCCTCCCTCAAATAAAATCAGTTGAAGCTGAGGTTAGTCACCTCAAGAGCTGCAAGTCCATAGCTTTTGGGACATTTTAACAAGTTATGCCATACTCATGGCATTCCCTTGGGCAGACATAGGTTTGTCTTTACTGCCTGCTCAGCAGTACCAGTGGTGCCTGCCCAGAGGAAGTGAGGTTTAGCCAATGCACAGATAGTAAATGCAGGTGAAATTCAGCTAAAAGAATTGCAGACCCCAGCTGGAGAGCTCATGTTTGAAGTCCTGTTTGTGAGCAGTTTCATTGCTTGATAACTAAAATGCTGGGGCATTTCTTCATTGTCCTTTGTGGGAATTGTCTTGTACACTTGCTGGTAAAAAGGTTGTTTAGTTGCACTTGAACTTTTTAGAAAAAAATCATTAATATACAGTATAAAAGAATTATTTCTAAAACTTTTGTGTTTTTGTTTTTTAGTTTCTGACGGATGGAATGTTGGTCAGGGAAATGATGGTTGATCCTTTGTTAACAAAATATAGGTAAATGTCTTCTTATGATAACTTTCCTGAAGTTTCAGAAGTACAGTATATAAGTAGATTGAAAAGGCAGTTGTGTTAGTAGCTGAGGTTCACGTCCGTGTTCAGCTGCCCTAAAGCTTTTGTCCTTTCCTTGACTGTTGACCCTTGATGTTTTTCTCAGAATTTACAGACAGAAAAGGGCAAATTAAAATCCCTGATGTTATTTGAACAGTCTGTGGACTTGTCCTTTGTATCTTGCCTCTGTTACGTGCCAGGATTAATAGTGTCTTCAGAGTTGCAGCACAGAACTAGGCAGCATTTTGTTGAATGTAATGCTCAGATTCCATATAATTACACTTTCTCCCCCCTTGTGTGTCTTTATCACTCAAGGCATTAAAATTATCCATCCAGGCTCTGGTATTCTGGGAAAGGATGTCACATTTGACTCCCTGGTACACATGCAACACAGCTGTGATCATGAGGCCCTTTGTGTTATTTTTTGCAGCTTAACAATCTTTAAGTGGTTGGCCTTGTTCCAATTTGTATGTGCTCTGTGGGGTTATATGTGATAATTTAAAATCAGGTGTTAGATCCTCTTGGAATCCAATGTGGGTGGTAAAACTTTTTAAATAGAGCAATAGATACACCATTTGCTTCACCAGCATATGTTGAAGTCACCATTTTTTATTAGCTTAAGAGTTTCCTCCTTGTCAGGAGTTATTTGCTTTATTTTGATACAAGGTGATTGCATGGGGGCTAAATACCTAGACATCCCTTTGATGATCTGGATGGGTTATGGGGAGGGGGCAGGGGTTGTCTGGATGCTCATAGAGATCTTCCTTCTGATTCTCAGTGCCATCATGCTAGATGAAGCCCATGAGAGGACCTTGTACACAGACATTGCCATTGGCTTGCTGAAAAAGGTATGATTTCGCTGCCAGACTTCTGTTTTTGTTTTGTTTTGTTGCCTGATTAGGAAAATAATTGTAGAAATTTGGAAAATCCAACAAAATATGAAGGAAAAAACTTTAAATCATCGTCCATAATCCTTATCCTACCCATTCAGAGAAAGTCACGGTGGAATGTGGGTATGTTCTCTTCTCTTTTCTGTGTTCTTTGTGTGTGTACATGAATCATAATAGGGATTAGATTGTATGTGCTAATTTGTGTCTTGCATATTTCTCTTAACATTACATCAAGGTCATTTTTCTGTGTCATTAAGTATTCTTTGAAGATGTTATTTTTAATGACTATATAACTGTATCTCTACCATAAAGTATTTGATTTTTCCCTTACTGCGAGGCATTTACGTTTCCAGATTTGAAGTATTTTAAATAATGTCACAATGAGCATCCTTATAATTAAATCTGTTGCATTCCTG